TTTTTGTTTGTTTGTTATGTGTATGGTACTGAAGATTGAACCTAGGGCTTTGCTAGGAAAATGCTGTAGTACTGGATAGATCCACGGTTCTTTTACAGTTTGTCCAGGCTGGCCTTGAACTCACTGTGTATCCCAGATAGGCTCTGTGGTCCTCCTGCCTTGGCCTCTAAGCTGTGATGACTTGTCAGGAGATCTGGCCATCCTTTCTTTTTAAACTCATTCTAATGGGCTTCCACATACATAGTATCTCAACTCTAAAACTGCCAGCTGGTCCAGCTCACTAATATCAGACATATGCCACATACATTGATCCATTCTCAGGGCTGCATTGCCACAGTCTATCAATCACTGCCTCCTCCTGGGGTGCTTTATTCTCTTAGCATTCAGACACCTCAATTCCGACTTTTCTTTTTTCCTTAATGCTGCTGCTTCTGCCCCAACAGTTTCTTCCTCTTTTCTCATCAGGTGTGCCAGGGCTTGTGCTTGGTCTTTTCCCTTGTCACATTTAGTTCATTGGTGATTTCATCCAGAGTATTATTCTGTCAAGCCATTAATTTATATCTCTATCCCAGGCTCTTTCTCAACATCAAGCTTCTGTATTTAACACCCTGAATGATAGCTCCATTTGGATGTCATACACACACTTCAAACTCAACAAATCGAAGCCTGGTTCCTGATGTTCCCTATCAAACCCATTACCCTCATAGCACATCCTTTTCTTGGGCAATGATAGCTCCTGTTCGTACAGTTTCTCAATCTCAATATGTTAGGGTCGTTTTGAGTCCTTTTTATTTTTCATTCCCAAAACAATGCATGAATTGTATAGATCCCTTTATCTTTGCACTCCAAATATTTCCAGAAGTCCAGAATGTCTCACCATTACGGGTTTCTTTTTCTGAGCTAACCTCACTTCTCACATGATATAATTTTGATCTCTAAAGGGCTATGTATTTAAAGGCATGACCCTTTGGTGTTACTGGGAGGTTGTAAAACCTTTAAGAGATGGGGCCTAGTGGTCTTTAAACCATGGGGAGTGGCTAATACCATTGAAGGGGATTATAGGACCTTCATCTATTCCTCATTTGAATCCCTGGTCATGATGTGATTTTGTTCCATCACTACTGCCTACCATGAATACTACCTCATAGGCTCATAGAAACCTGTGAGGTTCAATCAGCCATAGTCAGAAATCTCCAAAACTGTGAGCCAAAACCTGTCATTTTGTTGCCATAAAAACCAACCTGTTTTAAGAGAAATAAAACAGTTTATTCTGAGCCAACTATGTGGGATCATGGTCTGGGAAAATGGATACAAGTTACCTTGACTGACATGTTCCACTGTGAAAGAAGTTCCCTGAACTTTAAAAACACAGAAAAAAAGTCATGAATTAAATGCTTTCATAAAATACATGAATCAAGAGCTAGGTGGTATAGAGAATCTTGCAAATCTATAGGATTCAGGTATTATTACAGTCTTAGCTTTGGGGTTAATAGAGATTTGAGTGATCTATCAACTTAACAATCCTTTCTAAAGTTTACCTAGAAGTCACAGGATGTTAGGTCAGATATACAGATTGATAACAAATGGCTATTAAAATTGAGTTTAAAGGTAGTCAAAATAACTTTGGCTCCTAATCTGTAACATTCCATCTCTTCATAGTGTTCTGCTCAGCCAAGGTTAAACAGTCTGCAGGCTCTTGAATATAAATATGGCTCCTTTGCAGAATTTGAGTTCAGTCTTATAAATTATTTATTGGAGGTGTTATGTGTTAGTAATAGGAAGTTGGCTAATAGATTACTACAATAGCTTCTTAAGTCGTTTCTTTTTTTCTCCCATTTTTTCCTGTTCCTGAGACTCTTTAATGTGGTAGATAGGGTGTTCTTTTTAAGTCATTATCATTGTTTTGTACCAAGCCTGTAGGGTCTACCACATCATTCAGAGTCAAAGACCTATTCTTGGGCCCTTTGTAGCCTGGCCTCTGCATTTCTCTAACCTCATCTCCTGCTTTTTTGACATCCTCTTTCTCCTCACATACAGGCTTCCTTCCTTGACCTGGAAGGCCTGGTCCTGGTCCTGCCTCAGTGCCTTGCACTGGTTGTTCTCTCTGCTTGGCAGCCTTTCCTCAGCTAACAGTTAACCCTCACCTCCTACAGACCTTTGCTCAATTAATATTTTCCCAGGCTGTCTTCTTCCCTACACCCTACTTCCAACTCTCCTTTCTCATCTACTTTTTTACATTAAAAATTTTTGGATTTGTTTATTTTTATTTTATGTATATGAATGTTTTGCCTGCATGCATATAAGTGCACCTATGTTGTGCAATGCCTGTGGAGGCCAGAAGAGGGCATTGGCTCTCATGGAACTAGAATTACTGATGGTTGTGAGCCATCCCGTGGGTGCTGGGAACTGAACCTAGGTCCTCTACAAGAGCAGCCAATGCTCTTAATTGCTGGGCCATCTCTCCAGTGTTTCTCATCTACTTTTATTTTTTGTTTTAGAGTTTATTACCTTTAAATATACTCCAGCGCTTACATTTTAGTATGTTATTTATTGTTATCTTTCTTCCCCAGCTAGAGTAACGAGCTTTAAAAAGGGACCTTTGTCTGTTGTGTTCACTGATGCATCCAAAGTATCTGAAACAGTATTTAGCATTGTTCCACTAAATTTTCCCCTTCCCGCTGTCTGTTTGACCCGCCCTCACTCTCTCAGGGTCTCCTGGTCCTGACACAGGTTGACAAACTGGCATAACACATTTTTATCTTGGGTTTCTCATGGATTATATGACAGGGAGGGAGCAATTTACAAAAAACAAAAAGGCAGCTTTTCATAATTCAGGTCATTCAAGCCCTGCCCACAGTCTCTGTTAGCTTTCGCCTCACCCCATGGTCTGAATGCTCTGCAGGATGCCTCTGCTGTCCCAACTCTGGACTGGCGCACCCTTGGCTCACTCTCCTTTCCAATCTCACTGCAGCTTGCTCTGCCTGTGGCTAGGAGCCACCCTTTTCCCAGGATGCCCTGCACACGCCCGTTGCTCAAGCTTTTCAGAGGAATGAGTAGTTTCCAGGCTACAAGAATTTAATAAGTGGCCATTAAAATCTAGTAGTTTATTTCTTAATGAATTTAGTGGTACTTGGTATTGAGTTATATCACTAGTCACCCAGACTTCCAAAGGCTGAGTTTGTGAACTGATAGTTTTGAAGATGCAGTTCAGGGCATCTGGTTGTACACAGGCTCTTTCCAGTTCCAGTACCATATTGCTTGGACTTTGAAGCTTGTCTACCTCTCAAGTTGGTTCTTTTCTTTTTCCCAATTCAAAATCTGCACCCTAGGAGTTCCCCTGGTGGTTGAAATGCTCTTACTTATGTCCAGAAATACCTCCATATTCCTACTTTCTTTGCTCAAGACCCCTGACACTTGACACAGTAATTAGACTTGGTTACATGAGCAGAGTAACACGTGCACCAACCTCTGGTACTTTGTCCATGCATGTCATAGACTAGCTTTTATTTATAGACTAGTTTTTAATCAAAGCTAAACCCAAACGTTTTCATCATAGCCCTAGCAACCATCAAGCAGTCCTACATATTAACAACACAGAAAAGGTACTGAGTTTAGAAGAGCTGTTTGTTGATTTTGGGCACCCTACTGCACTCTCTAGATCTATAGCAATGCCACTGGCCCTACTATGCAAAGCCCAGTCATCCCCTGATTCTGGCAGGGTTTCCCCCTCATCTTGTTTACTTGTTAGCTTTTGCCTCTCCCGGGTTTGACTTTTGCTACTGAGCAATTATCTACCCAATGCTAGAAAAAGAACCCTTCCTACTAAACTTTATGCCTTTGTTCCAAGAACAGAGATTTCTCTTAGTTTCTATTTATATTACAAGCTCATACATCCGTGGGAAATGGATTTCAAATCAGTAGTGGGGGAAGATAGTCTACAAACCTAGATGCTCTGAAAAAAATTAACTACCTTATACCAGAGAATAAATTTCATCCAAATATCACATAATGTCCTCTGGGACATGATTCTGTGCCAGAGTATCTGAGTTCAGTTTTTCCTAAGAGGTAATAGTTTAACAAGTTTTATTTTTAATTATGTGTATTGTATGAGTTTGCGTGTCTGTTTGTACATGTGTGAGTGTAGGTGCTTCGAGTACAGAAGAGGTTATCAGATTCCTCCTGGAGCTGGAGTTACAGGAGGCTGGGAGCTCTGATATGGATGGAGGGAAACGAACTCTGGTCTCCTGGAAGAGCATTGTGCCCTTAACCACTGAGCCAACTCTCCAGCCCAAATGTAATAATCTTATAGACCCTTTAAAATAAAAAGTGAACTTCTGGGAGTCAGGGCCAGAACAAGATCCGTGGAAACCCAAACCAGAATATTTTTGTCTCCACTTTGGTGCTGTTCAAACATGAACTACACTTAGTCATCAAATGTGTCCAAAATAATTTTTTCTTTAAAATTTGAACTGTTTTAAAAGACTTTGTTGTTTGCCTGAGCTTGTCGGGCACCCTTAACCAGTGCTTCCTAAAGTACTGTTGTGGGGCAGCGACTTTCTCCCAGTGTTGGGAGTGTTCAAAGAGGCAGCAGCAAACGCTGTCTGCATTTCATATACAAGACCCTGAAATTTGGAGTCCCTCAGCGAAACACGTTAGGAAACCCTAGGTGACGACCAGGGGAAGTAGTAGGAACCTCGAGAATGCTGGACCTGCTAGAAACCTGCTTCCTGCCAACACGCCACCAGTTGGCAACTCCACAAGATTCCATCTGGCCCCGCCCCCAGCAGCGGAGGGCCCGCCTCCGCCCCGCCCCTCCCGGCCTCTTGTCTTTGGCTTCCATCCTCCCGGTTCCCGCCCAGTCCGCTCTAGGTCCAGAAGGGCTGAGGAGGGGCCACAAGCCGTAGCCAATGGGTGCCCACGGGCCAAGTTAGCTGTGGCACGGTTGCCCCGGCGACCAGCGCGCGGCCCCTCCTCCCCGAGCAGAGCCTTTGGCGCGTCGGGGTGCGGGTGAGAACTGCAATCTCGGTGTCGGTGGCGCACCGAGATCGCATGATGGCCAAGTGGAGCCTCCGGCGGAGGCCGGGCCGCGCACTTGGACTCCTGCTGCTGGTCATCCTGAGCTTCCTGGTGCTCCGCAGGTGAGAGAGAGCCCCGCCCAGCACCTGCGGAACTACTTGTGTCCCAAACCAAAGCTTCAGCTTCTGGTCTTCCGCAAGCCCGGAATCCTGAGTCCTGCACCGTGAAACTTCCAGATCCTAGTCTTATTTTCTAGGAGTGCTCCAACAACCCTAAGTCCCTTTGAGCCTCCAACTACTCCCACCCTGCCTGGAGAGTCAGACCTCCTGGCACTGCCCTATCAATCCCCAGACGTCAGTGCATTGAGTTTCCCACTCCTGTGTACCTGTGGTGCTGGGCTTTGCTGTTCGTGGACATTTCCAGTCCAGTGGGAAGAGCTGCAGAACTGGCCTTCATATCTCTCTCCAGACGCCCCCATCACTGCTCCTTGTAGCCCCTTCTGCTCTTCTCCCAGACCCTCACTCTTAATCCCAAGCTTGCTGGAAGTCCTTCTGTTCTGCAGAGCTGGTGTTCCAGTGCACACAGTTATGGTGAATGTAGCCAACCCCGTAGGGTCATAAGGACGCTGCCCGTAGGCCTTCCTAGACTTTTAGCCTTGATTTATTTGCATCATGCTGGTGTTTGTAAGTAGGTCCCCTTTCACTTTCTTACACCTTCCTTTTACAAACTGCTACTTGTGGCAAGTGGTGGGGTTCATTGAGAGAATGATTTACCCGCTGCCCATGGATAAGTTTTCTTGATGCCCTACTCCAGAAATGTTCTAAAGCATATCTTCTTATAGCCCGACAATCTTTCAGGTCGATGCCTGGTGCTTTCCATATTCAAAACTTTCAGTGTTGCTGGGAAGCAGAGCAAGAGCACAGAATGTTTTGCAGGTGGATTGACTTGAGGGCTGAGCCGTGAGAACTGGTGACGGCCATCACACTTATTTTTGTCCGTGGCTCCTTTTCTATTTCCTTTCCTCATTTCACTGAACTTCCCCTAGAAGGTAGAGACGCTTTTTTTTTTTTTTTGATGGAGATGAAGATCTGAGTGTTTTGTTGTTGCCAGGAGAACATATTTGGAAATGTTACATTGACATCTTTCCAAGAAGTCTATCCCTTGGTATCTGAGCTAGTGAGGATGTCATAATGTTTGGGAGAAGAAAATGGATCTTCACTCTGAGGCCCAAAATACCCATAAGGCATTTTATTTCCTTGGTTTTCCCATCTTAGTTGTTCTAGCCCATTCTTCCTTGAAGTTCGGTCTTGGCTTCTACTGAATGCTCAGCTTTCCTGGCCATGCAAATCTGATGAAACACCGTAAGAACCACTCAGGGCTGAGGCAACAGGAGCCCAGGCATGCAGGAGGGTGTCATGGAGCCTGGGCTCTAGAGAGGTGTTTACTTGTTTTTGATCAGGAGTACATCTGTTCCTGCAGGTGACCCAGACAGGTTACTGTGAGGGCAGCACTGAAGGAATGAGTTTGGCCAGTTCCCAGGAAAAGGTGTGGGAAGGAGGATGGGTGTTTGTCACCTGGCAGGACATAGATGAGGTGTCAGGCAGCTGACTGGGCCATGAGGAAGCCTGACCTTCTCACAAGTGAGTAACTGATTTCTCACCCAGGTAGGATGTCCACAGCAGGAATCAGGCTGGGGCTGTGGAGTGATTTGGAATGGTGGTAGGAAACTTATAGCTATGACTCAAGCCTGGGAAACAGGTTGAAATGCTTCATAAAGTTGCTTCTGCAAACCTTTTCTTTCTTAGCAGGTAAGAAAGGCAGATGCTGGAGAAGCTCTGATCTAAGGTTAGGGCCATCTTGGAATTCTTTAGAATTCGTGTCTCTTTGGCATCTTTTTTACTGTCCTATCATAGGTGTTTCTACCCAGTTCCTCTATCCAACTTTTACTGGATACCAGTGATTGTGAGCTGCTCTAATAGTTCTGGAGGCCAGAGGAAAACAGACTCTGTTTCTCTTCCTAGCTTACCCTAGCTTTGACTACATCATTAACTGAGTGGGTGGCAGAGGCCTTGCCCAGCTGTTGTTGGGGAATGTTGGTGTGGCCAGTGGAATATAGGTCACATGGAAACTGACTACTGTGTTCACATCTCTATCAAGGCCTGGCTGTCAGGACCAGCCATTTTCCTGGACCCGAGCAGGCAGGTATTTGGAAGGGTATTTGGGGGTAAGTTGTTTGGCTGCAACATTGCCTTTTCTTTTTCAGTCTTTTCTTAGTTGGTTCACTGTCAATGATAGCTGTTTGATTATATCATATCTAAGAAACAAGAGGATCAGATTGACTTCTGGGGAGGATTTCAACCTTTGTTGCTTTGGCTTCAAGCAATGACTTTTCTTAGAAGATACCTACATAGTTGATAAGCTTTGATGTAGATAACCTGGGGAAAACACCACTACGATTAAACTTAATGGAAATGTCCACCCTCCTCCTCCTTGAATTTTCTTATAACCCCTTGTACCCATCGCTCTGACTTCTTGCTCTCTAGTACCTAGTAACTGGGTTGGTTGTTTTCTGCCACCATATATTGCCTATAATGTATGCTTTTTGGCTTGGCTAATTTCATTTAGTGTATTATTTTGAGAGCTGTAGCATATGGTACCAGTGTGAGCCATGTCTTTGAGCTAATTGCCCTTCTTCCTCTTTCCTTCTTCTACTCGATGAACACAAGAATGCCTCCTTGATATGATCAAGGCCTGGTTCCGATTGTGACCTTTTCCCATATATGCATCACTGAGCAATAATTCAGTCAGCTCTGCAATTTTCTCAGGCCTGAAATTTTCACTGGCAAAAGTTGAGGGAGAGAGAAAGAAAAGAGGAAAGCCTCCAGTAAGGTAGTCAGGATCATGTTTCTGAAAGATATGTTCATTTTTCTCTCAGTTCTGTGTCCCTTACTATTCCTGCACTACTATTACCTGAATTCTAGGCCCTGGTTTTCCTGTCAAACTCTTCCTTGGTAAAAGTAGATAACTTAGCCATGATTTAAAAAAAATTCAAATTAACCTGCCTTCTATAGGCTTCTGTGAGGTTATTGATTTTATGAGCTTTGCTTATTCCAGGACTCTCCCCGGCTTGAGGCCTGAGTCATAGACCCTGGAATGTTCAAACTCTTTGAGTGCTGTCCCTTTCATCTTCTAGTGATGAAGTTTTCAGCACCTGGGAAGTGTCTCTGGGCAGGCAATCACCTGTCTCATACAGGTGGTAAAGCAAAGCTACCTGGCCAGTGGCTCATAGTGCAGGAGAGGTAAGATGTCTAAATTATGCTATGTTGGCAAGGCAGAGCTGGCATTGTGATTTTTGTGGAAATGAGGCCAGTGTTCTTTTTTTAACATTGACATTTTTGGTGAACTGGTGACTTAAGGGCCAGGCATACCCAGAAAATTGAGAGCAAAGAACTGCATCCAATTGGCAGCAGGTATATCATAAAGTTGGCCAAAGGGGCCTTAGGTCAAATAAGTCGTAAAGAAAATGCAAGCATTTAGCCTTTGACAAAACAACAGAGGTCCACCTTCCTATCCTGTCATCTCTAGCAAAGGCAGAGTCCATAGGATGTGAAGATATTTGCTCCTTCTACTCAACCCATTTCATAATGGATTTGCTTAAATCTATTGCTCTGGATATTAAAGCCCATGTTGAAAAAAAGAGTTCCCCTTGTGTGGGCCTATTCCTGGGATTAAAGGGCAGGGATAGTTTTCAAGACTCACAGTAAGGAAGCAAGTACTTCCAGACTGGTGTCTACCTGAGGGAGACTCAGCTGATACTCAGGACTATTGACACTCAGCACAAAACTAGTGTTTCCCCTTTCAAGAAAAATAAATGTTTTAAGCATTTAATTTGTATGTGATAAATGGACAGTCAGAGGATAAAGGGGACCTAGTGAAAGGAAACTCCTCTTAATTCTAGCTTCCTCTTCCCCTCCTTCCCACTAGAGTGTCACTGATGATAGACTCTTTTAGATGGAGTGTGTACATATACAAGAAGATAGCTGTACCCCAGTCCTGTTGGTCCATTAGACACATGATTTATTTAAGTATTCCTCTATTGATGGGCATTGATTGTTTGCAGTCTTTTATCTATTAAGTAAACAAAGTTGCAATGAATATAGAACGGACTTCTGTAAGTAGAAATGCTGACCATAGCACATACTCATTTTAAATCTTGGTAGATACTTCCAAAACAGCATACTCCATTTCTGCTGGCTCAGTGTAATGGAAATTTGGAAATTTGGAGCTCAGCTCCTTAGGCTAAGGGAAAAATTCTATTTAATTTGTGCATAGGACAGTATAGATTCTTGAGGTCTTGTAAAACTTAGTGTGTCTCTTCCATACCTTTGTGCCACAAGTCCCAAAAGATAGATTTAAGAAAATATTTAACACAGTTGTACTGTTCTGTTTTTATATCAGGAGGTCATTCTAATGGTCCTCTCCAAACATCATCAAGATCATAGGCCTATTATTAAGGACCAAGAGTCTTACAATTTTCACGTCTCTCTAGGCTGAGATGTAATAATTCATTAATTTATGAAGGTATCATTGGAAATTTTTGCCATAGTGAAGGTACCATATCACAGAAGACCCTGTAGTTGTGACTCTTGTTATGTGGCAAGTTACTGAAAGGATTTTTGTTATTTTACTTCTGGGTTTCAAGGTATTAGTCTAATACACACTTCTGCATTTATATACTTCTTACAGCACTTAGAAAATGTTGCCCTCTGAACCAAGTACCGTTTTAGGGCCAGGTAAGCAGACACTTGGAATTCAGGCAGCAGGCATGATTCTTTTCAGAGGGAAAGACAGAGATTCGAGGATTGCAGTAGAGCCGTGGACCTTGTGTCTCTGTAGAATATAGGTAGTGGGTGGCAAATTGGAAAAGTCCAAGTCCTTTGGGGGGTGTTTGATGCATCTTCCAGCAAAGTAAGAGCCCAAAACATTTGACTTTACTAAGTATATATCCAAGAAGCTGAGTCAGACACAGGGACTGAGTTCTGTTTCCCTTGGGCTGTGGTTCTTGGGACCCAAAGATTGGCCCAAGTATCAATATTTTGAAGTAGAGGCCTTAAAGACCAGG